GATGTCAAATAAAGATGATTCTGTTCAACTAGGATGAGACACAAATTAATTCACTACTGATCTTTTGGGCTTGGAGGCTTAAAACAAATGTACCTGGTCTACGTCTGAGTTCCAGAACAGCCAGGGCTTTGTAGTGTGACCTTATTTCAAAAACAAGTAAATAAATAATAAAAATAAACTGGATTAGGAAACACATGCTTTATGTAGCTCTGTTTGACATTTGGTTCTGGGACTCTGAGGTGGGACAGGGAAGGGAACAGAATCAGTGTTTGCAAGGCTCTGATTTGTAGCGTTTCTAATAGTAGCCAGTGCCAGCCTGCTATTCAGTGTCTCCCCAAAGTCAGTCAAGAGCCTCCTCTAGACCATACGGCTGAGGCTGAAGAGCTAATCGGCAGCCGAGAGCATGGAGGACTCGAGTTCAGCTCCCAGCACCTACGTGTGGTAGTTTACCACTGCCTGGAACTCCAGTTCCAAGAACCAGTGCCTTCTTCTGACCTTCACGGGCACCAGGCAGGACACACACACACAGACACACACACAGACACACAGAGACACACTATATATATTTTTCTTATGTCTGTATATATATATTTAGACATATATATATATGTATATGTCTAAATTTAAGAAAATTATGTGAGATACCTAACCTCAAAGGTAACAACTTGAGTAAATGCAGCAAGTCAAAAATAGTTTTATTTTTGTTTTGCTCAAACTTGTTATTGGTAATTCCCAACTTCCAAGACACTACAAGCTGTAAAAACAAAGATAAAAATGCTCTTAACCTGAGTGTCAGGACAGTGCCAGGTACACTGTGGCTGTGGGGGCATTGTGTTTATGCCTTAACAAATAAAAGTTACCTGAAGGTCAGAGTGTCGGGCTAAGCCACTAATTAGCCATAGAGGCCAGGCGGTGGTGGCACGTACAGAGGCAGACGGATCTCTGTGAGTTCAAGGCCATCCTGGGCTACACAAGATTGAATCTGTCTAAAAGAGAAACAGAACTCACACAAAGGTGGTCCCAGCACTTGGAATCACATGACTTTAATCCCAGCACTAGGGAGGTGGAGACAGGAGTGATATGGCTGGGCAGAGAGAACATAAGAGGGGAGGAGACAGGGGCTAAAGGCAGTCTGAGGAGCTGTACAGTCTAAGCAGTAAGTCTGAGGACACAGTCTGAGGATAGGGTCGCCCTTTGGGTCTGAGCGTTGGCAGAGGTGAGAATTCTCTAGAGACTGGCCACTCTGCTTCTCTGATCTCTCAGCTTTCACCCCCTAATATCTGACTCTGAGGTTTTATTATTTTTACTTGTTTATTTGATTGATTTTTCTAGACCGGGTTTCTCTGTGTAGCTTTGGTGCCTGTCCTGGAACATGCTCTGTAGACCCGGCTGGCCTTGAACTCATATCCAACCTCAATCCACCTGTCTCTGCCTCCCGAGTGCTTGGATTAAAGGTATCACTGCCAGGCCTGAGATTTTATTATTAAGACCAACTAGAATTTGTGTTACACTGTGGCATTTTTGGAAATTGCTAAGAGAAGTTTATGTCAATCAGTATGGAGACCTGGAGTCTTTCAAAACAGCGAGCATACAGTAAGCACTCAATAAATGCTGACTAGCCAGGACATGCTAAGGAGCCAGCCTTTTGCTGATCTGAACTTCTCTCGGGGCTTCTTGGTGGCTCCCAAAGGTGCAATCTGCCTTCTGGACAGGTGCATTCCCCTCCCCCTCTCCTGTCCTGCTGTCAGAAGAATGAACACATACAGATGTCCCCTCCTATAGGCAAAGCGGGATCTGACTGAGACCCTCGCAGAGCAGCACATGTGACAAGGACGTCCAGGTGTGCGGGATCTGTGGGGAAGTTAGTGGAGGCTGAAAATGGCGAACAGGGAGCAGATAGCAGTAGAGGAAGGTATGGGAGGCTTGGCTGGGAGGTGGAGCATCGATGCTGGCCCGCTCTCTCCAGGCGAGTCAGTGAGCTCCTCATAGGAGCTGACACAATAGAAAACGATAGAGAAAAATGGGTGGTAAGAAGGTAGATTAGACCTTGGGTGAAGGACTGGAGGACCTGGGACTTGGAGCTGCTCTAGCGGCAGATCCTCCCCAAGCTCCCAAAGATGTGTAAGCTCATTTCCCCTCTTACTTTACAGTGCACACGCATTTTGTATTTAATGTGCTTGACTTTGGATTTCGGAGGAAGCTAAACACAAAGTGACTTTGAGAAGTCTCATATTGTTGTGTGACCTGGATGAAAGCGACGTTATACAAATAGGAATCTGGGAAAGTGGAGATGGTCTAACCCTTCATCATTTATCAGAGGAGATTATTTTTTTAATTTTTTTTTTTTTTTGCTAAGCCACTTTAGCAATCTATAAGACAGAAGACATTACCAGAAAAGGTCAGCGTGGGAAGATAAATGAATTTTGTGGCCACAGAAGGGAGATAGTTTCGGGACTGAAAAGGAATGTAGGGTGGTGCTTTATTGTCAGGTGAATTCTTTCACAGCACAGCCCTGCTGCTCTCAGAGTCTGCGGCCCATTCCTCTGCCCATGCCTGCCCCAGTCCGTAACTCAGCTTTACTCCAGGACCGGGAACCTCACCATTAGCCTCTGAGAGGCCTGACAACCCTGGGGTGGGGTGGGAGTGTGAGAGTGCCTTCTATAGCTTCCTCTCATCTACCTCTTTCTGCCTCTCCTCTTTTGTCTCCCTTTTAGTTCAAGATGTATTCATTACAGGGATCATACCACCCCGCCAAAGAAAGGTGTTCTGGGGAAGGTGGTGGATGCCTATAACCTTATCACTCTGTAGGCTACGGCAGGAGAATGAGAAGTTTGGGGCTAGCCTGAGCTAGCTAGTGGGACTCTGTCTCAAACAAAACAAAAGTAAAATAGAAAAAGAAAGAATTTGCAAATTACTACTTACAGATAACTATTCACTTTTGATGTTTATGCACCCACCGCCATTGCTGCCCACCAGAATAGACGCTCAGTGGAAGGAGAGGAGGAACACACAGAGACACACTTTGCACGTAGATTCAGCGGAGAGTATTTGTATCCTGACATACGTTTGCGCAACAAGAACATAGCAAATGCAAGTTGATCCCATGTTAATTATATGTGAAATAATTGAACCCCAAACAACAGACAATGTATATCTCTGGATATGAGCCAGCTTCAATCATAAAATCATTCCCAGGGACAAGAAAATTTTCTGAGGCAGTTTTGATGCTTGCTTTTTCTGGTATCTTATTTCTATGGAAACTGCTGCTGGCATCCCAGATGGGCAGCGTTTGAATTTCAGATGTCAGAAGTACATTTCCTACTGCTGACTGACACCACCCCGGTCAGGACATGCTGGCAACAACAATAGCGGTAGGGCTGTGCCCAGCACGCTGTTCTGTAGATAGCTGTGGCACTATGTAAGCCAATGAGATTCAAGAAGGAGCTGACAGATTTTAGTTACTCTTTATGTGTTGGGGGGGGGTATATGTGCACGTGCATGCATGTGTGAGTGTGTACATGCTAGCGTGTTTGTGTGTAGAGGCTGGGGGTTGATATTGGGTGGCTTCCTCTGCATGCTCCACTTATTCATGCTTATTTACTTCTGCTTGGTGTGTGTGCAGTGTTTGTGCATGTGTGCAGGTGCATGTGGCGATGTACACATGTAGAGATTGGAAGAGTATGTGTCCTGCTCCATCACCGCCATAGTCCCTTGAGACCGGGTCTCCTACTGAAGCAGAAGCAAGACTGGCTGGCTAACAACCCTCAGCATCACCTGCCTCTCTCCAGAATCTGCCCCCACTAAGTGTTGGACTAGAAATATGGGTCTCCATGCTCAGCTGTAGGTGAGTGTTGGGGCTCCAAAGCAGGACCTCGCCCTTGTGCAGCAAACATTTTTCTGGTTGAGACATCTCCCGGCTCAGATTTGGTTCCTTGCACCAATGTTTCATTATCACACTTCTTGCCTCATGCCTCAGTGTCAGTCATGTGTTTCTAAAGGTTATAAAGCTCATGTTTATATGCCTTTTCAAATTATGCATGCAGTCCTAAATAGTTAAAAAGTTGTAATTCTTGAGTACCACAAAACTTTCTTTCAAAGGGATAATGTTGCCACTAATACAGAGCGGAAAATCTGATACTGATTTTTGGAGCACGTGACTCACAATCAAAATGAATATATACAATAGTTTATATTAGAATTTATAATAAAATAAGTAATAAGCTATAAAATTTTACCAGTAGGTTTTTTTGTTGTTGTTTTGCTTTTTGAGGTAGTCCCTCACTGTGTGACCGGGTTGGCCTTGAACTCACAGAAAAGCACCTGCCTCTCCCTCCCAAGTGCAGCACTCCTGGTTCTACAGTTATTTTTGTCCTGAAGAAATTTCTTTTAGCAATGTATTAATAACAGCTGTGAATCAATTAGCAGTTCATATACAATGCACTCTAATTTACTAATGACATGCATACACACACACACACACACACACACACACACACATATATATATATATGTATAATGATACATGGACATAATTACAATAAAAGTGAGTTGTACCATAATAAAAATCTTACAGACTTAAATTGGGTACCATTCAGACTAACGACTAAAAATGTTAAACCTCAAATTTCATCAGTACACAAATACTAATGGGGGATTTAAAAACATCTACGTAAACATAGCAGGGCATGGTGGTGTAAGCCTGGAATCCCTGCACTAAGTAAGAAGACTGTAGGGAGTTCAAGGCTAGCTTGACCTCCATAGTGAGACCGTGTATCAAAAAAGGCAAGTAAGCAAACAAACAAAAACTTCAAAAGTTCCTCTGTGAGGAGCACCTGCAATTTCTCCGGGTAGGTCGTTAGCAAAGTCATTTCACTTTAACTTGCGAAATAAGCAAATGCTTGCCTTATTTTCCCCCTCAGAAAATCATCATAACAAGTGGATTTTGTTGAATAAAGCATCACACCACAGAAAATTTTGTAATAAGATTATAAGCCACTTACCTATGAAGTTACCAGAGAAACAAAAATGCCGAGAATACAGTTTTCTTGCAGGAAGTGGATGGTCGGCTCCGAGACCGAGATCTGTGTGGAAACACTGGTTTTGTAGTTTGCTAACTCCGACCTTAAGCAACTCTTATCTCTTGGCCACCTCAGCTGCAAATGGAGATAACCAGATGCTTCTGAACTCAGACGAGGCACCTCCAGTTCTGAGGAGCAAATGAGGCTGTGAGATAGACGTACAGTTTTTTTGGCACTTACAGGAAATGTGCCTGGTTTCTGAAATAAACGAGGCTTGAAAGTCAACTAAAGGAAGCTGGGCATGATAGTGCAGGTCTGTAATCCCCAGGTGTGATAGACACAGACTTATCAGGAATTCAAGGCCAGCCTCAGCTACAAACTGACTTGAGGCTAGCCTGGGATACACGAGCGTTTGCTTCTATAAAAATTAAAATAATCAAATAAAGAATACATTCAGAGTCAGTAGAGAACATTATTTCTGCAAACACAACCGCTGCCCCTGCTGAGGCACCTGTGGCCCAGGTGCTGGTCTTACAGGGTCACTAGTGGACTTTTGCAGGAGTCCACAGGTCTGACAGCCAGGTGTTTTATTTTGTTATTTTTTTCTTTCGTTTTGTTTGGGGTTTTTTTTGGGGGGGTGTTGGTGAGCATTTCATTCTGGTTACTATATTTTCAAGTACTAAGTTTCTTTTTTTTTAAATTGATTTTATTGAACTATACATTTTTCTCTGGTCCCCTCCCTGTGTCTCTCCTCCCCTTTAACCCTCTCCCATGGTCCCCATGCTGCAAATTTAAAGCCAGATGTTCTTAAACACCACATGTTAAGGCAATTGCTGACTGTTTGCAAATAAACTACCACACAAACTGAAAATCCCAAAGTGATCCATCCTAAAGGCAACCTCAGTTGATAAATGGACTCCATGACAAACCTCAAGGGGACACAGGAAATCTATCTGGAGAAGTGGCATTTTGTGGTAACAACCAGAAAGACATTTAAGTCCCAGAAATGGTGAGGGTATCTACTTCAGAGGGAGCAGTGAAGGTGTACCTCAGTGTCTCCATCTTGCTTCTAATCCCTGCTTAGGTATAGCAGCACATCTGCCTCCAACCTGAGGAAAGGAACTTGACAGTGTCCCATTCTTCATGCATTCATCAAGAGTTTATGGAAGACCTACTATGTCCCAGCATTGGCCTAGGTGATGGGGAGATGAGTCAAACAAGATCTTAGACCACACAGAACTCTTGAAATCTATACCATCAATTATCCTTGTCACACTCTGTCTGCCCAGGTTCTATCCCTTTTTTCTTATGATTCTAGGTCACAGCCCTCCCTTCACACTCAGGTACCCTGAGGCTCATCTCTTGCTGGTAATTTCAGATGTTCACGGAAGCAGAAGGGACTACAGGACCTGTTAGCATGCCTTTGTGTCCGGCCCCTTCTTATCCGGACCACACAAAGGCAGCTTTGTGCTTCGGCAGAAAGGCAGCTTCCTCCTCGTGTTAGTCAAGAACAACTGCCCCAGTACCTGGAAGACTGAAGAAGGAGGATTGTGAGTTCAAGGCCAGCCTGGGCTTTGTAGCAAACCCTGGTGAGAAGAGAAGAGATGGCTGTGCTTCTCTGACTCAATAGTCCTTCCTTTGGAGCTCATCTTGTTAACACTACCTTTTAATCTTTTATCTTATCTACAAAGGTCCAGTGGAGATGGCCCCAGTAGACTAGGTAGGAGTGGGTATGGGACAGTTGTAGGTGTCATGTCTAATTTCCTCTTGTTCATACAGTCTGCTTCATGCTTCTGGAGACGTAGCATACACAAAAACAAGTTTCTCATACTGAATTTCCCCCCTTTGGTTTTAGAATTTTATTTGGTAATTTCCTTGGTTGGTTGCACTTGACCATCAAAGATGTGGTCCCTCCTCTGCTCAGTTTTCACGGTCTAGTTTTGAGCATTTTTGGTTTCCTTGTTCTTTATTCCTGCAAAGACCTTTAACCTAGCTTCCAAATATTGTTTGCCTCTTGTATGTTTAAATGATTCTTGACATTATTTGGATAGAATATTTTGTTTTTGGCTAATGGAATTTTGTCTCAGTTAGGGTTTGCTGTTGCTGTGAAGAGACACCATGACCACTGAAGCTCTTCAAAGAGAAAATTTAATTGAGAGTGGCTGGCTTACAGTTTCAGAGGTTCAGTCCCTTATGATAACGAAGGGGAACATGGCAGCCTGGGGCTGGAGCTGAGAGTGCTACATCTTGCAGGCAACAGGAAGTCAACCGACTCATTGAGTGGTGGTATCCTAAGTATATGAAGCCTGCTCCCACAGTGACACACTTCCTCCAACAAGGCCATACCCACTACTCCAACAAAGCCACATCATTCAATATTGCCACACCTTATGAGATTATGGAGTCATGGTGGCCAATTACATTCAATCTACCACAAATTTCTTCTTCTTCTTTTTTATTTCTGTGACCAATTGCCTTGATACAAACGAGTTCAGGAAAGATGGGTTTATCTCGGCCCATAGTTCCAGAAGAGTCAGTCCATCATGGCAGTGCGGGAATGGGGAGTAGAGTCTCTCTAATCACTGTGGTCAGGAAGCAGAGAGGGAATGTCTGCAGACCTAGGTTTCCTCCAGGTAGGTTCCCAGCTTACGAGAGGAGGCCCTCCACTCCCACGGGGAGGAACCCCTCCCCACTTAGTCTTCTCTGAAAATGCTCTCACAGAATACACTGAGGCACGCTTCACCAATCTCATAGGTGTTTCTCAGTCTAGTCAAGTTGACAATCAAGATTAATCATTACAGGGATAAAACATTCCTATTGGTGGTTCAGGCACCAGCAGCTAGCCAGGAAGAATTCTGGACCCCAACCCTCAATCCCGACAGGTAGTAGTGGACAGCTCAGGCCAGCAAAGGACTTTAGCTTCTTCTCTGGTCTCTTCCCCGTCAGGGCCTTATTTTCCCATATGATACTCCGCCCTTCCTCCCTGTGGCAGACCCTGACTGTACTGCGGCTACACTGCCAGGCAAGCTCCTTGTTTCTATTTCTTTCTGTCTTTTGCCTGGCATTCCTCAAACGGCCTCACACTCGCCAAATGTGAAGAAATGCCATGAATCCTTAAGTCAGTGATCCTCAAGTTCTTTGGTCTCTGGACCGCCATACACTCCAAAAAAATCATTAGCTATTGTTTTGCAGGCTATATCTACTTACATTGAGTGTATTAATATATAAAATATATTAAAAATATAAAAACAAAAATTTAAATATTTAGCCTATTTTTAAAATAGCATTAAAACATCGTGCATGGGTTTTGACTATTGGAGGGGACTTTGGAGAGTTTAGAGCAGGCCCTGCCTTAAATTTTGAAATAACTGTTCTAGGTGCTATGTTGAACATAGACGACCAGAGGGTTAAGAATGGAGGGAGAATGTCCATATGCTGGGATGGACAGAAGTTAAACCCGTAGGAGTAGAAGGGTTTGCATGTCTCACTTGAGGCAGACTGAGTAGACTAGACTGGAGATAGAGGTAGATGTGTGCGCTGGAATCAGTCACTGAGCTGCAGGAATCCCTGGAAGGAGAGAGCCTTGCCCCCAACCTTCAGCTCTCAGGACTAAGAAGAGGGATTTGGGGGAGTCAGTCAAGGATTTAAAAAGCCAGAGTGGCCATTGACTTCTCCAAGAGCTGGGCAAGCTTATGTGCTCCCTAGGACCAACACATAGGAATACCCCTCCCCAGCCCTGTTCTGCCTGGCGCCGGGCACCGACCATGCCAGCTCCCTTGATTTGGCCTGGTCACGGGGCCAGGTAGGTATAACGAGAGGCTACAACAAGGATGCAGAAAACAGAGACCCAGCTGTCAGTGTTGGGGCTTCTTGGTGGTTTGTTTGATTTCAGCAAAGGACCCAGTCTTCTAGGCCAAGGAAAATAGGGAAAAGGAGCCACTTAGAATCACATTCCTCTATGAAGAAAGCCAGGAAGATCATTGTCTGGATGTGTTTAGCACCATTGGTCCTTCCAGAGATTTCTGAAGATTCTCACTGACTCAGCACTTGAGTCTGTGAGTCAGTAGTTTAAGCAGTGTTTCCAAAAGTACATGTCATGGACACATACAGGCCATGGATATCCCAGGCCATGGATGTTCCAGGCCATGGGTGGCACAGACCACGGGCAGCACAGGCCAGGGGACAATACCTCAGTTGTACCACTCTGCATGCCCCTGGGGCTCTCACTTGTCTGAATAAGACATTCTCCTCATTTGTAGGGACTTTCTTGGGCGGTAACCCCTGGTCCCCTTCACCTGACACCATCCCAGCCCGTCACAGTAGTAAAGCAGCCAGAGTCTCTTCCTATAGAGTTCTCTGTAATGTGTCCTACTCATGAGAGCTCTTAATGGGCAGAGAGAGAATAAGTTAGACCTATCATCAAGTAATACTGGGAAGTAACTAACAAAAGAATTGTTGACAGAGATTTCTTTCCCACCCAGTCCCACAGCCATTCAGTCCCAAAGAATCACACAGAGGCCTACATTAATTATAAACTGGTTGGCCTATTAGCTCAGGCTTTCTTATTGACTAACTTTTACATCTTGCATTAACCCATAATTCACATGACTTGGTACCTCTTATCAGCGAGGCCTTCTCCTCTTGCTTCCTCTATATCTGGGTGACAACTGTACACCGAGCCTTTCCTCCTCCCAGAATTCTCCTGCTCTGGTCGTCCCGCCTATACTTCCTGCCTAGCTACTGGCCAATCAGCATTTTATTAAACCAGCACAAGTAACAAATCTTTACAGAGCACAAGACCATTGTCCCACATCAAAGAATAATGCAGAAAAACTCTAATTTAAAACCAATACCCATGTGGGAATGGTGCTGCAGTTTGTAATCCCTGCACGCTGAGGCTGGACAATCTTGAATTTAACCATTTCAACAACAAAATCAGTGATGAAGAAGACTGCAATGTCTTCTAAGGAGGGTATTGGGGCTCACAGTGTTTATTGATTTCGTTTCACCTACAGATTACAGAGGGGAGAATGCAGGAAGCAGGGGCATCCAAGGCTCCATGCCCTTCTTGTGTTGAATTGGTAAGCATGGAACAGACGGCTCTAGGCTGCAGCAGGGTGGAGGGCAAGTCATGTGATCTAGTTGGCTTCCCATCATCCCTAAGGAGTTATTAGACCACTGC